GTAAAATTACAGGCTTGAAAAAAAAGTAGCCCAAAAAACGACTTTATTACAGTAACATGTGTAATTCGTAACTTCCATCCCTGGTATGAAGTACTTCTAATTCAATTATGATAATCAATTATGAATGATGAATTATTTTAATTCCATTAGCAGCTGTGACCTCACAGATATGGTATGTAGTTAGCATTTCAATAAGCCTTTTCAGTCTAGAGGGAAGTCCAGCAGCACTTTTCCCCCATTTAAAAACCTTTAGTCAACACACATGTGAAACCTTCCCACACTCTGTCTCAAAATAATAAAACCTATGATCAGATATAGATATGTATTAATCAGTGTAGTGTAAATAAATAGTCTAGTCTAATGAGCTAGTGCGCTTACTCTCCTTTGTTTAGATATCTTGTCATTGCACGTGTGTGTGTGTGTGTACCTAGAAACTTGACAAGCAGTGAATGGGGATATTTCCTCAGATGTTCAATGTAGATCTTCAGGTTGGCCAGAAGAAATTTGATTTCCCTTTTGTTCTGGGTCTTCAAAAAGAAGCGCTTATCATTTCTAGAAGTTCAAAAGCATTGAGTAAGTAGATCTCTATCCCATCAATGATACAACATACCAAACTCCTCTTACACTTTTAGAATGATGATATTCTACATTTTGTCTAAGATTTGACAGATACTGACACAAAATATTGGACATATAGTGATTAAATGTGTCATTCAGCTTTAGAGCTGCAACAACTTGCTTTCTTAAACTGATAAAAAGATTTTTTTTTTTAAAAAGATAAAAGAGGCAGTTGCACACATAAGCAAGCCTCTGTCATAGTTTTTTATACTCATGGAGAATACATACATGTAATATAATACAATATGTTGTCATAGTAGATGGAAAAAAAGAAGAGGAATATGAGGAATTTATATAAAAATCTATAAAGAGACAAACAAAATTTCCATTTACTACAGTGAGTATTTCACCCATAAGGATGTTTCAATGAATCATGTCAGAAATAGAGGAATTTAAATCATTCATATAGAAAAATAAATTTGAGAGATGCCAAAGGTAACCAACATCTTTTGGACACAGGACGAGGATGAGGAAAACTAATGTGCTCTAATGTTTCATCTCTCATATTACAAAGGTAAAAGGGTCCCCTTTCTGCAAATGTGTAAACCTTATGAATTATTTTGAAAGGAGTTTCTTTGATCTCGGCACTGTGCATGTGTAAGCTAATTTTCTGTTATTCCTGGGCATGGTGTTAGCTTAAGGCAACAGTTGGGGTTAGAGAGTAAGAGTTATGGTTACAGATACATGCAGGGCTAAAGGTTAGGCAAATAGGATTTCATTCCAAAACAAAGGTTTGCTTCTTATGAAAACAGTGGAACCACGGCGTGTGAGTGACTCACGTTAGGAAGAAGTCGGCCTTGCTCTTGGAATTGCTGATGAACTGGAGGTAGCAGTTTTCAGAGCATAGCGACTGCTGATACTCCTGCTCCGTCATTCCTAAAGAGCCACGCAGGCTGGCAAACACTGGGCCTGCAAATGTCTCCATTGTGAAATCCTACACACACACGCGCAACTAAGTATACAGTTGGTGGCATTCAACACAATAATTAATTTGAGTCCTGTTAGTTATTGAGACACCTACCTTATGAATCTGAGTGACCTCTAATCTGAAATCATCATCTGAAAGTTCGTTCTAGAGTGGGGCAAAGAGGACAGATGTCAGGGAGAATAAGAAAGGCAACTTGTATAGTAACTAAGCTTAACACACTGCTTTGCCAATGTTAAAGCTGCAGTAGATAACTTTTATAAAAATAACTTTTGTCATATTCGCTGAAACTTTCACTATATCCTGACAGTAGTACATGAGACAGTAATCTGTGAGAAAATCAGGTTTCTATGGCTCGAAAACAACAAATCAGAGCCTAGAAAGATGGTAGGCTTTGTGACCCTGGGAATGAGACTCAACAATTGACTATCTTCAAGCCTCCATCCCCAAGCGTCTGTCTTTCTTTCTTGGAAGGACTGCAGCTTAATAACATGGGTTGCCATGGCAGAACAGCCTGATATCACAATGCACAATGTCAACTATGAGATCAGTGGCGATACCAGCACGGGGAAAGTTGTGATGCATTTGTGGTAAAACAGCTTTGTCGTGATTTGGATTAGCACCCAAGAGGGCAGATAATCTGTGTACCTACCTACCTTTGATATGTCTAAAGCCACTGTATGTTTTACAAGGTATTAAAAGGTATCTGTGTGTGTATGCGTGTGTGTTTTTGGGACTGAACAACAACACAACAGACAGGACAGTCACGCATCAGCCTGCTGAGTCAGCAGAGTGTGTGTGACTGGGATTAGGGTGAAACAGCAGCACTGTGTGTTAAACTGCCCTGTGACTGTTCATTCAGCAGCAGCAGGTTGGACACACTGCATACCTGGTTTAAGGCCTGGGTCAGGAGGCATTCTCCCTTTCAGCTGTGGTATTTGTTGACTTTCATAGAGAGGAGGAAAACAACCGCTGCAACTAACAATTGGTGCTCTTTTTAGATGATGCTCTTTTTAAAATGTGTTTTTAAAATATTTTTAACCTATAGAAATTGCAGCTAGAGGTTTTTTGACTCAGAGAAATAAAGTGGCCACATAATGTAAATCTGTAGCACAAGAAATTGTGGTGTGTGATTCTGAAATAAACTTTAGGGCCCATGTAAAGTACATCACCATGTCTGCTTTCCATAATCTAAAAAAAAAAAATAGTTAAAGTGCATACATTTTTCTGTCTGATCGACACAGAGAGACTAATGCACGCATTTGGGGTGGCTGTGGCTCAGGAGGTAGAGTGAGTCGTCCCCTAATCGAAAGGTTGGCGGTCCAATCCCCGGCTCATACAATACAGATATACAAGATACAAGTTACATTAATAGATTTTCTTATTAATTTTAAATTCCTTTTACTCGTCTTTAAAGGTCCAGTGTTTGACATTGAGGAGGATCTATCAGCAGGAATTGAATATAATATTAATAGGTACGTTTTCATTAAATGAGCCATTTTTATTTAAAGAGAGATGGGCTCTCTTCTGGCAGAGTATGCCATGTTGAACTAGTTTTTTTTACAGTATCCCAGAACAGACAAACTAAACAGTGCCTCTACACTTTTGTGTCTTCCGCAAGTGTAGTTTATCTTACATACCTGGAAGGCTGAACGGAATTCAGTTGATTGCAATCTGAAAATTCATGCTAGATGCCACTAAATCCTACACACTGGTCCTTCAAAGCTCTCCATGGTCATGCACCAGTGTATTTATCTGATCTGCTTGCAATATATACCAATCAACCATAACATTGTGACCACTGACAGGTGAAGGGAATAACACTGATTATCTGGTTATCAGGGCTCCTGTCAGTGGGTGGGAAATATTAGGCAGCAAGTGAACATTTTGTCCCCAAAGTTAATGTGCTAGAAGCAGGACAAATGGGCAGTGTGAGGATTTGAGCGACTCTGACAAGGGCCAAATTGTGATGGCTAGACAACTGGGTCATCTCCTGTGGTTAGTCCTGAATCCAGATTGGCTCATACGGAATGTATATAGCTGTTTCTAGACCTCAAAGGTCCTTTGAGTCAAAAGTGTTTCCAATGAATTGTCTGACCAACTGTGAAAACTTGTCACAATCTCCCCCTCTGTTCCTGAGTTATGGTGTTGAATATTGGCACAAAATTTTTTTTTTTAGAACACTGTGAGATCACAGTGACCTTTAAAACATGTCGTCACAATTCTTGAGTCCTTAACCCCAGCCCTAAACCTTTCAGTCAAAAGTTTCACCAATTCATCACCGACCAATTGTAAAATCTGTTTTTTTGAGGGGGAGACTTTTGACCACCAAATTCAAATCAGTTCATCCTTGAGTCCAAGTGGACATTCAAATTTGAAGGTATTCTCTCGAGGCATAAAATGTTTGTTGTTTCAACACAGATATATTACTTGTTTCTAGGTAAATAAAAATACAACAAACAAAGTGTGTGAAGCAATACACATCTTTCTGTCCAGAAATCTATAAACTGGTTTGAAAAGTTGTAAATTTAAGTTTGCTTTGTTAATGTATGTATGTTTCGTATGCTACTGGATACTTGAATTTCCTTCGGGATAAATAAAGTATCTATCCATCTATCTATCTATCTATAGCTCTGCATTTATTTGCAAATCTGAAAGATTTGTTAGAGCAGTGGTTCTCAACTGGTCTTACCAAGGATCCACATTATTCCATAGTCATTCAGTTGGAACCCACTTTCATAGCATATATTTTTAGCGCTGCAAAAAGGAAGGGTGCTGTTTGATCTGAATGCCTTGCATACTTCTACACACAGTCATATGGCTAGTATGCAACCCACACAAAAAAATTGTTCAACATAAAAGACTTTCTTCCCTTTATTCAGAGCATATTACTATATATATATATATATATGATAAACTGTGTATAAAAAAGTATGAACTTTACAATGAACCCAAATGCTGAACACAATAACTGCAGGTAATTCATGTAAAATGAGAGATTTGGATTAATTTTGATTTTATTTATTTATTAATATTTATATTATTATTTCCTGTGAATATTGATCAGAGATGAGTATGTTAGCCTAAATTAATCCACCCCCCCAGTCATATTAATACTCACATTCCTCGAGGCACAGGCCGAGGAGGTGGAGTAGCAGCCATATATGATTCAAGCGTTTTAATGGACCCTAAACCTAAACTAAATTATAATTAATTTGAAAGTCTTGTTCTTAGTCTT